GCCTGTTCTTTGGGTACTTCACAATCATAATGTCCTCATTTACAAGTTCTATAATTTCTCATCTCAGAAGTTTCTTTAAAGTTGTTTCTTAAGTCCTAGCTCTATCAAAAGGTGCTTTTGTAAAACTTTGTTGTTTCAATTGCAATTATTTTATGCTGAGGTTAGTCAAAGGATAAGGGCATATTGTCTCTGTGTAAGACTCATAATGACTAACTCTATTCTGGATATCTAGGACTTTGGTGTAGATATACACACAGTTTGTGGTAATTGGGAATGGGGCTGTGGCCAAGTCTCATCCCTAATGGGCTACAGCCATGAAAAGCAGGTGAGCAGCATTGAAAGTAATGAGGCACAGAGGTGTACTGAGCCTCATCCCCAGTGGGTACAGCTGTGCAGGGCAGGTGAGCAGCATTGAAGATAATGAGACATGGAGTGCCCAGGTGCACTGACCAGTCATGAGAGGGAACAGAGGACACACAGGTGTGATTCATGAACAATGAGGGTTATAAAAGGTTGGGCTGAAGATCAAGGCCAGCTGCTTGTAGTCTCCTGAACTGATGTGATGTTCTCCTGCATGGGTAGGTGTCTGAAGTCTTCTGATGAGGTATGGTGTTACTCTGTGTGGGTTGAAGCCTTCTGATTTTGTATTGTGATACTCTGTGTATTGTATGAGCTGTGGTATGTGCAGTGGCCCTTTGGTATCTCTGTGCCTGACTTTCTGCCTCTCCTCAGTAACACGCAAGATTTTCACTTGTTTGTAGTCAACCTTTTTTGTAGTCCTTTCCACTGGCAGAGTAATGGATGGCAGGTTGGACTAGTGATGGTAGGTGTCTCATCATTCTTCAACCAAAAATACAGTTGGTAAGAATGGTAGTGAGCAAGTATATGAGATTATCTATTGGACATTAGGCTATTTGCATGCTTCTAAATGCTGCTACCCTACTCCAAATTTTAGTCTGGGTAGCTGTAGCCTGTTAAATCTATCAGTGCTCATTTAGCAGTGCTTCTTCAAATAACTTGAAAAACCATACCTGGTAAGGTAGTGGTTTTTGAGTCTTATGTTGTTGGGCATAGTCCCATACTTGTACTTTTTTTTCTAAATTGTGCTTTTTACTTCCATGCTTGTATTATCACTCTAAGCATTGTTCCTGCTGTTTGCCTATTTGGGAAAAAGATATTTTTCTAACCCACTGTTGTAGCTAGCTGTAAGTATAGTAATGGCTAATGGTTGTATACTAAAAATCAAACTCATAATATGTATTGCGCTTGATATATCAAATAGAAATTGTGAATTGAGGAGAATCAGTATGGAAATAAGATCACAGCTTGGTGGAATCTTCCAGTTTTGCAGACTTACGCTAAGGCCAAGAGTGTAAACAGATCACGGTAAAAGAAAACAAGTGGAATAAACTGCTTTGGAACCTGAACTTGACTAACATCCTTAATCCCATAAGTAGTTGATCATTAATTATTGCATAGTCATGACATAGTATAATGGAATGATTGCTGCTTACATATAGAGAGAAGAAATGTGATTGAAAAATTAGGCATACCTTGCAAGCATAGTTCTTGTACTGTTGGTGGAAAGTGTCTGTGTGAGGATTAGCTGGAAAAAAGCTTTTATTTCCTTGCTTTTCTGTTCATATGTGTTCATATGTTCTGGTGTGTAAAAGCAAGCACTTCACAATTATTTCTAAAAAGCATAGTGAAATAAGAAATCAATCAACTAACCATCTTTTATCTGTTGCTTTGGTGTTTCTTTTGAAATTCTACTCTTTATATGTAACTACTTAAGCTCATTAAAAAAACCCAGTAATTTTCTTACCAGGTAAAGAGTATTTTCAATTAATATTTGACATCAGTTCATAAGGTCAACATTCTTTGTCCACAGTGAGAATAGGCTCAAGAAGGAGACCTTTCTGCTTTTAGTAATAATGTAAATAGTATAACAGATTTCTGTTTCGTTGTACTTTACTTTGGCAAGATGTGATGGAAGAAACTTATTGATAATCATGTTTTAATTCACCATTGAGTGAAACTAATTTTTTTTGCACAAAAACTAGGTTCAATTACTTTTAAAAAAATACATTACATAATGGCAAAGTTTTGAATTTACTGATGTGCTTGGGAAAACAGATTCCTAACATTCCCTACTAATGTATGCCACATTAAGAAATTTGGTTGACTGCATCACTAGAAGTAATATGTTTTTGAGAACATTCAATATTAACAGTATCCTGAAGAGCTGCTAATTTTCTTTCAACAAATATTCTTTTCTGAAGAGTGAATGGTATTTGTTTTCTGTCAGATCTGCCTTGGTGTTGCTTTCACAAGTGTTTAAATACACAGATAAATCAATATATTTAATGATTCTTCACGTATATAGGTTTATGATACTAAAAAAGCGGTCTTAAGGCTTTTCCTCACTCCATACTAAACTTTTGTTTGATGTCAGATGCTTTTTATTTAGCTTATATATGACTGGATTTCTGTCCTGCTGTATATTAATTACAAGAGAAAAGCTTTAGCTTAATCTGAGATTCTTAGGATGTAAGAATTTGTGTTCAGACAGTCTCATTTGAATTTGATTCTCAGTTATCAAAACATAAATATCCCGTGTATATACTGGACCTGTTGCAATGCAAGACTTCTTGGGAGAGGATTTCAGCACGGGCCCAAGGGAAGAGAGCTGCCTGCAGCCGAGTCCTGCTCATGTTTGCTGTGTTCTGTAGTTTGATAACCATGCTGTGATTTTAAGCATGTCTTTGTGTACGCTGTGGGAGCTGATGGCGATTAGTCTGTCCATTCTGTCTTATCTCTCTTGAGTAATCAGCATTTACTTATTGTCTTTTGTCCTTTGCCTTTCAGCCACCCAACCTGTGTGTTATGAGGAGTTTTGCATAGGTGCATTTGTATACTCTAATAAAGTCTCAGAGGCTTTTTTTTTTTTTTTAATCAGTATAGTTTCAGCTAAAAAATATTTCCTAAGACCAGAGTCAGGAAATTGAACGATGTTTTAATTAGTGAATGGATTAAAGAAGAAAATTAGGGAAGAATGAATGAGGATTATTTTAGGGAGTTTTGAAAGGAGTTTTTTAGATTTTAGTTTTGTTTTACTTTTTAATTCATAATGCCTAGTGCATCATGAACAGTATATGAATTCATGAGTCCTTGCATTTTGAAAAAACTGACAGACAAATCCTAACAACTCCAAGTCAAAGCAAGGAAGCTATCATAACCAAGAAAATTATATTCTGATTGGTAGTGTATTTTTTGTTTTGTAATATTTAAAATCTTACTTTTCATACCGCTTGTTTTCTTCATTCTCCTATAAGCTGATATATATCAAAGGATGAAAATATAGTTCAATAAACAATAATTGATAAATGCTGCACAGAAGTATAAGACAGGTTGTACCTTATCAATACTTAAGTACTTCTTTCCTTCTAATAAAAAGGAAGGATTATCTTTGCCATATACATAACATCTGTCTCTTGCAGAGGAGCTGTCAGTTCATGGGCTCAATTTTTACTATACCATGAAGTTAAAATAATTTCCTTTAATTGAAAAGATTAGAATGACTTCTGTAGAAAAGAACATCTGTAGATGTCTGAGCAGATTGTTTAAAGACCTACTTTTTTTTGCTTCCTTGTACCCAAGAAAATAATTCAATCCTGTTCTTGCAATAAATTAATTTGCAAGGAGAGGTGAGGTACCCAGCATTATGTAGAGCTATGCTCAGTGCAAATCACAATGTTTCACACAAATAATTGTGTGAAAACAACTGCTTAAGTTTATGAGCTAATGAATCATTCAAATACACAAAATTAAAGAGACCAGTCTACATCAGTATTCCCTAGTGTGGATATATATACACACATATGTGGATATATATACACACATATATTCCATTTTATAGGTAATAAAATACAGATTCAATAATAAATAGTTCTTAATCATATGTTAAGCAGAACATATCATTTTACTGATGTAGACAATGAAAAATGTCAGTATGAAAAATTCTTTATACTTATTAGCTTCAAGTTATTTTCTTTAAACAGCAGCACTTAATTCTAAAGTATGGTGTAAAGGGAAATATGGCTTGCCAGTGACTGTTTAGCACTATATTAGAAACTAATGAATATAGACTGTAATTCAGGACTCAAAACTTTCAGAACATAAAATTATAATACTAAAGATGAAAACTGTTACAGAAAAGTAAATTGGTTCTGTAAAGGATACAATCAATTTCAAATGTGGTCAGTTTGATAAAAAAGCCTGCTGGTTCTCAATGCACCTGTTTCCAGGGCTTGATTCTGGTGTTGGTTTTGGTAGATTAGCAGCCATGTTTTCTACTTTGAAACAAAATATGTCATTTGTTTTTTTAAAAGTCCGTAATAGATCATGTGAATAGTTAAACAGGACATACAATGAGGCTGTCTGTAAAATATGTGAAGATAACAAATGTAATGTAATTAACTTCTTTTTAAAAGTATATCTAAATTATTTTAAAAACACAATCGGCTAAAAAGGGAGCTAAACTATCAAGTTAAATAAAAAGAATAAGTTTCTTGCCCCTTTAAACAATATGATTGGCTCTCACTGATCTGATGTTTGATTCTAGACTAACTGACCTAAAGACAATGAATGCATACTTGTGGAAAAGTAGTACAAAATCAGATGATAACCTCGGTGTAATTACCAGGGTAATAGAGGCAGAACAGAGAGATCTAATTGAAATGACTAGTCTGTCATTAGTTTGAGTCTGCCCTACATAAAGTTCATGGCTCTCATATAGATGGATGTGTAAAATTATTTTTATAAATTATATCAATATCAAGATGACACTTGCTATGTTAAGTTTCTTTCAAGGTAATTCATCTCTTAAAGCTTAATCACACTTGTTGCGGAGATCTTTAAATTATTCGTAGATCAAATTTCTGACACTTCTGTATTTGCCAAGCCAAAAAATTAACACCACAATTTTGTTTTATTTGCAGCATCTGGCGAGGACCAAACATAAACTGCACTGACAGTTCAGGTTATACTGCTTTACATCATGCAGCTTTAAATGGACACAAGTAAGTGCCTCATATTTAGTTTTTATGTGGAATGACATTTAACTGTGTAATGCAAGGAAAATATAGTTTAGTTCTGAGATTTGTACCAAAAATTGGCAAACACTGACTTATTAAAAGAGCCTTCTTTCCAATAGAATATATTAATATGTTTTGATACTGTTATCAATATTAATAAGTAGTAATGACAAATGGGAATTGTAGTTTAAAAGCAATTGATTCTATACTGCTTCTTCTAAATTCTTCCTCGGTTTTGGGGAAATTTAGCATTGTTACTGCTAGTCTTGACTCTAGTGCTTTTTCATTGCTGGGAAATTGCAGCAGAAAATATTGTGTTATATTTCTGTATGTATGTACATATGTGTAGAGTGTGAACATTTCAGGAAGTGATTTTGCAAAACAACAGTAGAGATTAATTGTTATCAAAGCAAAAGTAATGTGGAAAGAATATTTAGTAATTATATACTCAAAAGCAGGGGAAAAAAAAGAGTATTTTCACTAAGAAAGTTTTGACATAAAGCTTTGGTCAACACCTCATTGTGAGACAAGGAATTGATCCAAACCCGGTGGAAAATTAAGATTGATTTGCATGAATTTTAATTCATGCAATTTTTTGGACTGTCCATAAAATAACACATGGATATATTATTAACAGTTTATTCATTGCAAAATTTGTCCTTCTATGGAAAAATTAGAACTTTAGGCTGTGTCTTCAATTGTGTTCTAGAAAGGTGCCTGTTTTCTTTAGGATGGATCAATCTGTTGATAAATATGGGATATTCTTTCTAAATAAATATATAAAGTAAACTCCTGAACAAAATATTGTGCATTTTCCTGAGTTTCAGCTATGTAGGAGGGTACAGAATCGTCCATATTTTTGCTTCTGTGAAATTAGAGCTAAGTTCTTAATATGGTCTGTTTAACTCAGCATTTTTATTTATGATTTATGGATTGTTTCTTGTGCTATTGATAATTTTTGACTGCCCAAACCCCAAGCATTGCTTGCAAAGATTGCTGATTTTAAATAGATGAAAACAGGGATTAGTATATTTAATACTAGCAATACAGTAATAGTTATACAGAAAGTTTAAAATATTGCTGTATAAACACTGAAACAGAGGTTTCAAGTGAATCCTAGCAATATCAAATCCCAAAACACACAAAAGCCAGATGATGATTTTGGACATAGTATTGCCCAAACTTATTCCAAGATCAGTGAGGACTTAAAAATGTGGACTTATGTACAGCAGCAGATATAACTACAGCCTTTGAAAAGTCCAGTGTTAGCTGCGAAGACCTCTTACACTCGCAGTAGCAGTAACTGACATCACAATTATGCCTTGTTATATTAAAGTTAGTTAAAATACATTGTGAGGTATTTTGTGATAAATCATGAGGGTTTCAGGACCTGTTACCCAAGCCATTATACTGTTACAATGGTAGCATGGCCAGTAAGCGAATTGGACAGACACCTGGTGGTCCTAATTTTGTTAGTCATCATAAATAACCAATAAATTACTTTGCAGTCTATTTGAGTTTTCAAACTTGAGTTTCAAAATGGCATGCAATTGTTTTATACAAGAACCTTCTCACTTAGAAGTTCCTGTCCTTTAAAAACTTCTGGGATTTTAATTTTTCCCACTTTACACTAGGCTGAACCTGAGAGGTTTCAGAGTTTTGTAAGAACATAATCTGTGGCTGGGATGCTTGGACACCATTGTTCAAATCTTTGATCACTGGATGTGATGAATTCCCTCCTTCTTGGTTATTCTGGGATAATTTTCTTTCCTTGGGAAACTATTCTGCTTTATATAGGTAATTAAATAATATCTGGGGCAGGCACTGGAATCTCAGTCTCCCTAAGTTATTTCACTTAGCCCAGTAATGTTACTGGGCTAAGGACTTTCAATCTTCTCCTCTCTGAAATGTATTTGTACAAAATGAAAAAGTTCTGCCAAAGCATTAAAAAAGACTCACCCAAGATAAGTGTGATGGGTCAGGGCATTCTTGAAGGATGCATGTTCTATTTTCTGGCTTGAATCTTGCAATAAACTCTTCCCAAAATTTCCTGTATGTTTTAATCTATGGGTTTCATCTGTGCAGGGCTTTTCTTCTGATCTTCCACTTAGTTCAGTTTATGCTTCCTTTGTTTCATGTTCCTTTCAAAGGAACTGTTGTGTATGTCTAGCTCTCATTGGATTATTTCCTGCAAGACTATTATTTAATGGGAAGTCTCTCAAACCTTATGTGTACTAAAAAGCTTCCCTCAGGAGACACTTTCCTGTAACTTTTTCTGTAACAGAAATCTTTCTGTAGTGGACCTGCTATTTTTTGGCTGTTCTCATGGCATTTGACCTTGTCAGGAGTAACCAAAATCCAGCTTAGCTTTTCCTCAAAGTTTAGATGTGATGACTCCAGTATCTTTTGAAGTCAACTGGGAGTTTCTTTTGACCTGGATATACCTAACTCATCATATGTTTTTCAATATGCAATTAAAAAGGTTCCATCAAGGTTGGAAGAATAATTGCCTTAGATTTATCTTCTGTCTTAATTGAAGTCAGTTTGTAGTAATTATTTTTGTCATAACATAGCCTACGTTGAGCTTCCTACCCTCACTAATGTTTTTGAGCCAAATCAATAAGTTGGTGTTTTCATATTTGTAAAAAGCATGTGTAAAGCTGTTCACACTGGATCCCAGATTCTCTTAATAATTAATGAGGCCTGACTGTGTCTAACTGTGAGACTACAAATGCAGCAGCAAGACAGAATTTATTTACTTTCTGACATACTTGGTAATGTTATCATGCCACACAGCTGATTTTTATATCAGCTTTTGAAGCTAAATATAGGAGACTGCTTAAAATCAGGGATGCAATATACCAATTTATGCTAATCTTTCAGTTAATGTATGATAAGCCACACCAAAAGGCATATAAAGATAAAGTGGTAGTAAGTCACTTTTCCCCTCACTGCTGCAAGGCTGCTGAATGTGGGAAGTGAAAATCGCAGTTATTTCATGGAAGTTATACATAGAAGTTGTTTTAGATATCCACCTAGATCATCATTAAATTTTTTCCTAACTATCTTTGAGATAATGTCTTAAAGAAAAAAGATTATTACTTAAGCCTTATGGTAAGAAGTGTGTCCATCAAACTATCCTCTTGTCATCCTGTCTCCAGAATTCAGCAGTGATGGGGACATGAGTACTTCAATGCCTTGAGGGATGTGCACATGTTCTGTACAGGCAAATTCTAAAACAGATTCTATGGCCAGGTGATGATAATATTGTTCATGATATTCATAAGTAGTCAGAATAATTACAATTAATAGATTTGTTGATGTTTCACTATCTATTTCATTTTCAGAAATTATTGGTCTTCATTTTTTGTAGCTGTTTTGCTTGAAATACAAGTTTATTTTATTTTTATTTTCCAGGTTAAAAATATTAGTCATATGTATGTTCATGTAAAAACTTAATAAAATTACCTTCCTGTTGATTTTTAGATTTACCTCCTGTTTTCCAGGGATATAGTTCTCAAATTACTTCAGTATGAAGCATCAACCAATGTAGCAGATAATAAAGGTTACTTTCCCATTCACTTGGCTGCTTGGAGAGGAGACGTAGATATTGTGAAGATTCTCATCCATCATGGACCATCACACTCCAGAGTGAATGAACAGGTGAAGTGATGAAAAATATTTATGTGCATCATCAGGAAAAAAGGCACTTTCTTTGGGTCTGACCAATTTATAGACAAGTTTTAAAAAGCCTATTTTCAGTTGTTTCAGTAATTTTTTCTTCAAGATTGATAAAATCTTCAATTATAAGCATACCAGATACATTTCTTATGAATAGGCACTGACTTAAAGTATCAGATTTAAAAAGTATGGAAAAACCTTCTGTTTGTTTTGGAAAAATTGCATGAAGACATAGTCCAACTTTGCATATTTTCTGTATGGTTGTAAATGTGCACAAAATGTGTTCTTTTACTCTATTACATATTAAGTTCCTGAAAATCTTTGAGATAAAATTAATGTCCTAATGTATAGTTTAAGAGTACTGTAAATAATCAGATATGCAGAGGTAAATGACAAACCAGATGGACTGCAGGGGGATGCACGTGTAGCAGAAAGCACACATAAAAAGACCAAGAAAAAAATTTAGTATTACAGTGTGTAAGGGCAGTATAAGCATGTTGTCTTCTGCTGTCAAACATATGGTACACCTTCTGTTTTTATTCTGTATATTTTTATGTGGTCCATTCATAGGATTAGTATTTAGGAATAGAAAGAAGCTGATTAAAATTTGACACCATCTAGGCTGAGCTGCTTAAGAACTGGAAGCAGGGTGTGAAAAGCAGATAGTAACCATTAAGCAATTGCATTTGCTAGGTTAGTCAGAGGCTTGGAATGTGAAGGTGCGAGTCAGCTCCTAATTCAAATCAAGCTATGATGCCTATGTTACCTGTCTGTGCACCTTTTGGTCCCACAGAGGTCTGGGCTGTGTAATCACAGGAGCCAGCAGGGCTATTCAGGTGACTAGAAGGAGGATTCAAGTGATCAAATGCAGAAATGCAGGACTTTGAGGCCCTGCAGTAATGGGAGACATCTGCATGGGCCTGAGAGTGTGACAGAGGGTGCTCAGAATTTCCAGGTCTGTGTGGAACGAGTGGTGAAATTCAAGTATGGTACCACCTGGCACCCCACAGCACCTCAAATGGCAAAGTGCAATCTAATAAATTAATTGTTCTCTCAGTGCCCACATTAGTGTGGCTAGAAGGCAAACTGTGAGAAGATAAACATGAGACCTAGATTACAAACACTTAACCATTGTGAGATGCCATATTTTGAGTAATTGTTTGATATCTGAGGTTATGCACCTAGCCATTGGAATGCATACAATAACTGAAATATGATTATCAAGCATTAGTGCTGGAAATATAGAAAAGTAAAGTAATAAAACATGTCCATGTGACAGTCTTCCATGAAATCCTGTAGTACACATTCAAGAAAAAAACAGAACTCAAGATTTGTCATTCTGTGAATTTTAGATTAACATAATTCTCCAACTTTCTCATTCTCATCAGCTGTTTTATGTAGGATGAAACCAGTTGAACTGTAGGATTACCTTTTGTCAAGGAGAGGTTTTTTTTTCAGTTTTATTTATGCAATGAAAAGCAACTATTGAATTGTGCATCGCTCATTTGCTTGAAGACGTTACCTGTATTCTACAGACAGAATACTGGAAACTGTGTAGGAACTTCAGAGGGCAAAAGTGAAAAGGTGTTTCAGAAAGAAATGTAAATTCAAACCTACTTCTCCCCAATCCCACATATACCTCCAGACTTCTAGAATATTGGCAAACTTGATTAGGTGCTATGTATCTGGTTTGATCACTGGAGCAAATAAGCAGGGATACAGCTGATACTTATATACTCCACTGACTCAAAAAAGGTCCTCAGATGTCCTCCTGTTTATGCATTTAACCCAAAAACCTTATAATAGGAAACATGTGAGCAATCCTCACAAGAAATGTTGCATCTTAAGTCCTTTAAGGACATCTTGATCGTGTTAAACTTTGAAGTTGAACTCGTGTATATAGAGGTTTTCTGACCTTGTAAATTCCTTGGTGTTCCACTCTAGACAATGGCCAAGTTTAGTGTGTTGCATACTTTGCTGGCACTTACTTCCCTCTGCACATTAGCACTCTATGCAGGAGAATAGCCTCTCTATCCCAGAAAGAGGGAATGTCCACCTCTGCCCATGTATCCTCAAACAACACCTGAGAGGCATCCTGACCCGAACACCTGTTGTGCATTCCCATGAGCCTGTAGGATTTGGAGGCTTTTGCTTATTTGTAGATAGGCTCTGTAAGGCAGGTGATTCCTCAAAGCTCTTATAACTTCTCTGGAGCTGAAGCTATGGCTTGTAAGAAATCCTGGACTATTATCTCCTTTTTCTTCTGAGAGCTGGACATAAGGGCAACTGTTTTTCATTACACTTTTTCACTGTAAGAAATAGTGTACTCAAGTCAGATTTCTTTCCCTCTGTTTTTGTTGTTGGTGTTGTTTTTTTAAGTATCATATTAAGATGTAATTGTTTGCATTTTAAGAAAATTATTTTGTTCATGATTTAAAAGTTATTGCAACTGATTTGTAATGCATTTATATTTTTATTTATCTGAAATGCTATATGAAAGAAATGCTTCCAAAAGTGTATGGGAAAGAAATGGATGACTGAACAAAGAAATAAATGATAAGTTCATGATGCATAAATGTATATTAGATTAGATAATGGATTTTATATGGTATATTGTAAATTGGTAGAACTGCATTCTATGCTTTGAAAATGCAGTTAAGTTGCATCATATACAACCATATCCAGCATCTAAAGCTCTGAATGCCCCCTGCTGTTCCTATTACATAAAATTGGAACAAACAGTAAAGAGACAAACAGTTAAATGACAATTGTGTTATGTTATGGGGGTGGTGGATTGTAGACTGGCAGCTTTCCACACAGAGAACAGTTACAGCATAACAATTATGTATGAAGAATTCTATCACTGTTCTATGTAGGAGTCTTAGTTGACAGGCATGGTGTATCTTTTTAAATCACAAAATATGGTGACATTGCAAAAATATAAGTGTTTAATTTCATTGATGAAGATCTAAAATTATATGAATTATAAACTGAATTAAAATAGTATGAGATCAAGATTTGTTAATTGATTATAAAATAAAAAGGTGTGCTCTTAACAGTCAAACTACTTACAGTTTATTTCTGTAAAACAGATCTGGACAGCTAAAACATTTATTGCGGCAACTTCCATCATAAAATTGCATCATTGATAACAGATCCTAATTTATGAAAAAATGGTTAATAAATAACAGTTGCATACAGATCACTATGCAGTGTTTGGTTTTTTCAGCAGAAAATGTGAATAACATTAAGGATAAAGGTAAATGTCTTATTAAATATGAATAAAATATATTCCTATTATATATAGAGAATATGTATTGTTAAAAATTTACAAAAAAATATGAACCCTTCTGAAACTTTTATGGATTCAGTGTGTTGTAGAATTTGCCTGTGCATCAAATTGTAATTGCCACAGAAAACACCCACATTTCTTTAAAACTATTCAACAATTCTTCTGAAATATGAAGAAAGAGTCCAGGATACATTCATATGATGTAAACACCTAAATTTTAACATATTTGCAAACTTCTCCCAGTTGTACAAATGAAACACAGGCTTCTCTGTGACAACTCATGGACTTGGCAGAAGTTCAATTCAGTTCCGAAATAGCCTGAAAACCAAATATTTTTCGAGTTCTGCATTTGATTTTACCCCTCAATTAGATACTAGTGTATGAATTTCAGTTTCCCCTTGCTACTCTTACTGTACTTTGTTTAGAAGGAAAGAAGTGCACACAAAATCTTTCTGATTTAAGCCAATTGCAACAATAAATTGGAAAAAAGCTTTTTCAAAGTAAGCAACTATATTACATTACTGTTTTATGATGTTTATGTAAGTAAAAGTGACTTTCAATGGGAAATCAGTAGACTTGATTTTGATTCACACTGAGTAACTTGCAATCAAACTTCCTTTATTTTTTTTCAGTTATTAACTTCTTGGGAAGCTTCCTGATTTAATACATAAAGACCATTCTGAGGTCATCCTTTTCTCTGTCTTGCATATATTCTTTTGCTCCTTTCCCCTCTATTTAATTACTTAGTTATTAAAGCCTTATTTTTGTATTGTATTTCCTCTAGTTGACTACTTTTGAGTATATTCAGTATATAGATAGGTGTTTCCAGAATCTCCCATTGTTCCTGCTTTCTTTAAATTAAACTTAAATTCTCATTTCATAACTGAGAGAATAGCAAAAAGCTTTTAATAACAAATGTCTTGTTCACTTACTTACTTTGGGATTATGTGACAAAGAAATGGCTCAGTGATTTAGGAAGTGTCCTTTTTCAAGTTCAGCATCAAAACACTTTGGTGAAAAAAGGAGTTGAGCGTCCTTTGGAAAAGGTCTGTTAAATCAGTATGTGAGTTATTTTTGCTTGTACGGTACTTGCATGGACTTTAGGAGATTTAAAACTTACTTGGCAAAAAAGGACTTCACAACTGTACAATAAATGTCCTGAATTTACCCACAGTTTAATAGTGGCTTCACAAGAGCCTATATAATATTAATGTTAGCCATTCATTCTCTTGAGACTTCCTGTACTTTTTCACAATCAGACTGCCAAGCTACAATAACTGTCTCTATAATGCATTTGCTAATCTGCCCTCTAATGAATAGACCTCAAGATATATTGTACATTTTGCAGTGGCACACATCTTTAGCAGCTAAATGATGTAGCACAGCCTGCAAATACTGATGAGATGCAGGGCAGTGAAGGCACAGTTCAGTTTGTAGCCACAACAGCCTGAGTTCTGGCTGCATGAAGAGGAGAGGTTCTTCGGAGGGCTGCTACAGGTGGTGATGGTTGTGCTGATGTAATACTTCATAACTAATGATGGAGGTTTTTTAAAGTTTAAAAGCTGAATCCATGGAAAGCTTTCCTTATTTCTGAGCAAGGTCCTTTGGACTGTAAGAGTAACTACTTGTCAAAAAATATGATTTATAAATATTAGAGACTTCTTTTTAAATACTGTATTTGCATAATATTGGTCTACTCTTTTTACCTTACATTTTGTATGTCTTGGTTCTTATTTTTATTCTTTCTTTTTCTAGAACCATTCAGTCATAGAATGTCTTTTAGTTGCTACCATATAATGAAGCATCTGAAATGTCTACAAGGATTCTGGTCTTTTTCTTCAGCACTAGCTGTATTATTTAACCCTTGGATATCAAATTTGAAGCTCTAATTACATAATGGTAATTTGCATGCAGATATTTTTTTAGCAGATTATCTGCTTATCACAATGAGTACTAACACATAAACTTTCTGTACTCCAGAAGCAATTGTTTATGCTTGGAACTGAAAATACAGGCAACAGCACAAAATTATTGCAAGTTTCTTGAATAATTTTTTTCCCATTTTAAAAATGCTTCTAAACAGTATGTTGCTTTAGTGATATGAAGATAAACTACCTTAAAATCAATAATCTCTCTACTCCATTCTAAGCTGATTTATTTTATATAACTAGTAATAAATCATCAAAGTAGATAAAATTGTCAAAGTAGACAAGTTTAGAATTAAACAAGTTTTAATTTACTCTTTGGAGGTTAAAAATATTTTTGTCTTCTCTAACTCAATTGAATTTATTAATTTACATTTTGAAGCAGGCAGAATGTTTTACTATCAAGTTTTAATTAGGTAGTGCCTCTCAGCTCTGATAACACAATATGTACAATGCCTCTTCTGAGGGCATATATGTAGATAATTTAATTATCATGTTTGCCCAAGTTGAGTTCTTCTGCTTTATTCAAGTGATATGTAGCTCTTTATAATTTTGTATCAGTTCAATTGGTCATGAACTGAAATATAGCTTTTATTTGGCAAATAAGAACAATAGAAAAATGTTCAACAATATACAGCTGAAAATAACATTTTGTTACTTTGCTTTTGTGCATCAGACTTTTCAGTATGCCTTTGTGTGAAAGTTCAGCTGGATATTCTTTATCCAGAGAGCAAATTCCAGTTTGCTGTTCAGCAGTAGCGACTTGTGCTGTTTGATCTGTGTCTGTATCTATCACATTTTTAGAAAAAGGCCATAGCAAATTTAATTTTTGTTTCTTTTAAAATTTAATCAGAATACTTTTAAGCTACAGTATTAGATCATTAGCACAAGATTTGAATTAGTTCAATTAGTACTTCCATAAGTTCTTGAAAAAACCCTCAGACATAAGCAGATATTGAACAGATATTTACAATTATTGACCTCACAGAATGCCAATATAGTTAGACATATAACTTGTATAACTATTTCTATTGGATATATAAATACAGTAACTGGAGGCAAAAATTACCATGATTGTAATTTTATGTGCAATTATCTGATTTTCATATTAATTCTACACAAAATCAGGCTGCAATTGCCTATTCATCTAGCTGTTCATGAAATATTGAAAATTTAAAAAATTTAATAAATTATGCTTGTGATTTGTTGGTGTACAATTGTACGTAAGAAAATTGCTTTGCTTGGTCCTATTTAAAGATAGAAGTCCCTTGAGCACAAAAAGCTTCTTTCAGGTAGTTTATAGAGCATTGCAGCAATGTAGTATTGTCACAGTATATATATTTTAATCTGAATTTCAGGTCTGTGTAATGAAGTAAGCCCACATGGTGGTCTGAATAATACACAATGATTTAAATACTTACTAGTCATCAAGCCATGTCTGCCAGTGGAAGCTTCTCACTTCCCACCTGGATCTTCTCCAGCCTCTGTGTTGCAGTTTAGCAGGAAACACATTCCAGTCTCTCAGATCTTGTGTGGTGTTGTGGACATCCATGAGTTTGACTGCAACACTGATTTACCTGAATGTATTGATCTGTCTCTTGTGTTTCCCAAGTTCAACTGAGTCATCTTAGATTGTGAGAGATGAAAATGACAGCAATGTTGTTAGAACCACAAACCCAAGAGTCAAGTTCTTGGTTACAGAATTAGAAACATGATTACCAAAAAAACAGTTCTTACCTTTTCCTCCTTTTTAGTTTTTACTGTTTATCCTAGCTAGCTTTTGAGTGAGAGTCCAAAGCCTTATTTCTCTGACATTCTGTCTTTTAAAAGACAATTGGTTTTTCCTATTTTCACTTCTCTGTCCCTTGAACTTTCTTCAGCTGGCTCATTGAAAAATAGAACTACAGATTCAGATGTACCACTTTATCTTCCTTTAGAATGGTATCTCTACCCTCTTTAGTATCTTTTCTGAATTTACATTAATCTTAAATTTTTTATATAGCACATTAGCTTATTGGTTTTGTACTTTTACAACATTCCTAAACTGTTACAATATTTACAAATTTATCAAAATATGCATTAAATGTATATATTTCTACAATGTATAGCATCTATTTTATTTTAAAGCTCTGTAAGGTCTGCATATGATATATTAATAATATAGATGACATATAGAATTCATAGAGCTCAATAAACTATTTCCTTTGTATTTGCCTGAAGCTATTTGTCTCTTTGGTGTTGCAAGTATATAGACAGAGTTGGAAGGAAACAATTAAAAATATAATGCATATTCCCAATATTTATTGCTTAGTTTATTGAGTAATATTTTGGGAAAAATTTGGAGGGGATTGTTTTATAAAGGGAGGGATTATTGCTGTTCAGTGTACAGCATACTCATAATGTCTTAAAACATACATACCTCTCTTTGGGGTTCTGAGAAGACTCAACTGCTTAAGTGATTTGCTAAGTCTTTCTATAGGCCCTGTTTTGACTTCTGAGTTTTAATTGTTGTCTGGATAGTAACTTTTTATAGTGATACATGAAACTAACCTTGTGCCTCTGATATATTTACATTATATAGTTTTACTCCATAATTCCATTTCTCTAATAACAAACTGCTGTGGTATGAAACCAGCAAAATCATGAAGAGATTTCACTGTCAGTATATTTTTAAGAGAAGGACTCAATCATAATTTCAGGAACAGCTGAATCAAAGAAGGTTACAGATTTTGGCATATCACAAGCTACAAGGTTTTTCAGGGGTTGTTAAAATGCATTGGTAGCAATGCAGACACATAGGGAGCTCATCTGCTTGAGAGCAGCAAGCTCAGTATATTAGTGTGTTATTAAAATGTCAGTGGAGTAATTTTGAAGCATTTAACATGTATTACCATACATTATATTAGAAACTCTGCCTCTGAGTGATCTCATGGAAACAATTTATAGAAGCTGAGCATTTCTATTGTGGGTTAAACATGAATTTCTGAAGCTTTTGGGTTTTTTTAACAGAACAATGAAAACGAAACAGCACTGCATTGTGCAGCTCAGTATGGTCATTCAGAAGTTGTTGCTGTTCTGCTAGAAGAGCTGACAGACCCCACAATAAGAAACAACAAACTGGAAACACCTCTGGATCTGGCAGCACTTTATGGACGTCTGCGCGTTGTGAAAATGATCATCAAAGCATATCCAAATCTGATGAACTGTAATACAAGAAAACATACTCCTTTGCATCTTGCTGCTCGTAATGGCCACAAAGCTGTCGTACAGGTGCTTCTGGAGGCTGGAATGGATGTCAGCTGCCAAGTTAGTGTGTAATTCCTTCCCTCCTTCCCCTATGATTTAAATGAATTTTTTTTCTTTAAAATATACTTGTATTTACTTTGTTAGAAGTGCTGCAAAGTGTTATATAATACAGCTTTATTTATTACAATTCAAACAATGGGGATAGCTCAAGAAGCATACATATCTTCAAAGCTGAGTGCATGTTTTAATGTTGTCTTGAAACATGTGGATACACAAGTCATATCAACCATTCATGTAGGTGTATATAAATATATTTTCTACAGCAGCTGCTGTAAAGGTCGTAAGCTGATTTTCTAAAGCTATGGCCCATTATGGTCACAGCAATCTAAAACTGTTTCACTGTGAGCTCATTCTCCTATAATTATTCCGTTCTAGACTCAAGTTACTACATAATAATAATTTTGATTTTCCCGATTTCTAAACACATGTATAAATCTAAGAGAAAATTCTATAGCAATACATTCTCCCAGCTAATGACTCCAACCTGTCAGCTGTTTGGTGTGTCTTGTTTTTATGCACAGTAAGTTATAAGGGCATTAAAGGGGTAACTTTAAATTAAATAGACATAGATGGGAAGAGACACAAGGTATAGCAGCAGTGAATTTTATGTTCAATTCTTTGTACTGGAAGGTGTCTAGTCCTTTTAACTATAGGGGACTGGGTTCTGTTATGTGTTCTGAAATGTTGCCTCAATCTTATGATTTCTTTTGATTTGATTGATGGTACTGTGTTTGTTGCAGAGTGGATTTAATCTTCATAAATAGGGTAACTTCCTTGCTCTCTCTCTTGCTGTATAAAATATGCTTTGAATTAAGGTTGTTTCAAGTTTATATCTATTTTCAGTTGATGCAAGCAACCAGCCAAACTTAATTACATCTACTTTAGAGTCACAGGCATTCTCTACTACTTAGCAGTTGGTTAGAGCCCGCTGATAAAAACACCAAAGTTGTGGGTTCCATCCCTGTGTGGGCCATTCACTTAAGAGTTGGACTTCACGATCCTTCTGGGTCACTTCCAACTCAGAAGATTCTGTGAACAAATCTTGCAAACTTTTTCTAAACTTTGATTAAAATTATATCCATTTTAAGATTTAGGTGCATTTAATTAAACTCCATTATACACAAAATTTCCTTTTATATAGAAAGATTGGTCTTGGATTCCATACACTTTTATTTCTGGGTTCTTCTATCAAGATCATGTTTTTCAACTTTTGAGAAAAAGAATATGAAGTGGGGAAGAAAAGATAGACTAAAAAAAACCAACAAAATAACAAATCAAATCGGAAAATATTAGTGTATTTTAAGATTAGAAGTGGATGTTCTCAAGTGCCTTCCATAGCAAAATGTGGTAAAATTGTTTTACTATTTTATTATTTCTTGCTTATTTTGAGTTAGTGTTGGTACTTGCTTCAAACTATTTTAAAGTGAAACACTTTTGTGTGATTTGTCTGTTTTTGAATTTGCCACCCATCAAGTTTTCAATTTAATTTTATTTCTTCTTTATTAAAAAGAGACACTTGCAAAGTACTCATAAGCAGCTCATTTTTTATCTTTCATTTACGGTTACTACATTGTCACTAATTTAGAAAAGTTTAATGCTACAGCAACATAGATCTTTCAAATGCATATTTCTGAATATATCATTTCTCTTTTATCTAGCAAAAGAATGAGGAAAAATTCAGAAAGAAACTGGTGCCTGAATTGATATTTAAAAAATAGAATAATTGAAGGAAAATAATCTCTGTCATGGCAGCTTACAAACTGATGGTTACATGAGGGCAAAATATTACACAATACTTTTATGAAATGTGTTCTTTCTCTTATGTAATCTAGATAATTTTAGCACTACTGTGACTTCTCCTAAGCCATTTTTATCTATAGTTGTAGAAAAAAATTTTTACTAGACTTTACAAAATACAGTGGTTGCAATCTTTTAAGCTGTGAGGGATTCTTTTAGTAATGGTGATCTCTTTGACATGTACACTAAAATTATAGGACTTAGTCGTTTTTAATTTTTTTATTCTAATTGCTTTTGTGTTCATTTATATTTTTAGATTTTTTTGTAGTTAGAGGCAGAGATTTTTTTTTTTTCCCCTAGGTTATCTTGTTTTCTTAGGGTTTTGTCCCACTTGAGATAAGGAAATATAATTTATTTATTTTCTTGCTGGTATACATGTTCTCTATCAATATGTTCTTTTCCATTCAGCATCTTAACATATTGGTAATTTGGCTCTGTTTTTACCTACTGTTAACTTGTTACTTCTGTAGCCTCTGAAAAATTCTGTTGAAGATTACTGGCAGCTTATTAAACTGAGAACACAAAATATCAGCCTGTCACTTAAAACTAAACTCAGTTATTTTGTTATTAATTAAATTAATCTACTTAGGAAAGACCTGATCTGTTTGGGAAAGAATAATTGACAGAGTAAAATCTTATGTGGTAAACAATTTTGTACACGTTTAAGCATGTTAAATAAATTCAGTTTATCACCAGTAAAGATCTCAGAATGTTTAGAGATTGATAGAAATAGCCTGTCTTGTATTACCCTGTAGTTATAAAGATGTATTTTTTAAAGGGGAGGTTTACCTTAGCCATTTTATCTTTCTCTTTTTTACTCCCTGAGCACTTTTAATCACAGCATAGATTTGGACTAATAAAAGAGAGCATTTAATTTTTTATTTAATTAATCACACATTTTATTAATTTCCCAAGTCTATCCAATATCCTTCAATCTGGAATTATTTATGAGTGGGCAATACAAATCTGCTTCATCTCTTTACACTTTGGAGTTTTCATTTAAATTGAAACATATGAAAAATACACAAGTTTAGGTTGAGTGATAGAATTTGGCCTTCAGTAAATTAAGACACTGCACAGTTCAGTATGTTTCATGTAAACAGTAGGTCAATAATTATAAATACCCTAAAATCTTTGCCTCTTATGTTTATCCAACTTTAGTCTATCCCTATTTGCCTTCCCTGTCTGTTCCAATAATGATGGCAATTTCCACTGCTTATCGTTGGTAGTTCTGCCAAAAGCTGTGCCCCTTCCTTTTTGCTCTCACTGTCTGTGGAGGATATTATTTGAATCAATTTGCAAAGCTACATTTTGTCCTTCAGATTCTGTCTGAAATCCATGTCAGAACTATAGCAAACTGCCTGTGAATAAAGGCTAGACAAGTGACCTAATTGCAAGCTCTTGCATAGTTACATGATTAAAAGAAAATCTGTAAGTATTAAAACCCTTGATGCTTCTCTATGAGCCTGCAAATTATATGCCAAGTTGACTTGGGTGTGCTGGTGTGCCTGTTGATGTCTTCTGGCCTAGCTTGGTTTATGTGTCCTGCTGTGACACTGTGTCTGTATTGAGTAGTAAGCAGGGGCAGGGACTGTTTTATTATATGTTTAGCACAATTTGTGCTCTAGTTCTCTGTATTTCATATACAGAAAACTTATGCCACAGAATCAATATATTATCCATTGGTGCAAACTCAAGCAGACTTTAGCTCACTTTGCTCATGAAAAATTGCCAGCAGTTTCTGTATTAAATATCACTGGGAAAGACTTTCCAAATATAATGGTAGTGTTTACTTGGCCAGGAAAATATAATCCAAGGCAATGAAAGTTTCAGGAAGTAAAGTAGTGAGAATTGTCTATAAATCTTAAGCTCACATGCTGTAGTATAGACGAGAAGAATATATTAATACATAAGCACACTGTTATAAGTGAAAAAAAGCTACCTAAAAGTTCTAGGACATCTTAAATAATGTATAGAAATTACTTGCAACTATATTTTTTAATCCTCATGATTTGTGTAAATGCTCTAATGTATAAGAATAAAACATTCTGAACTTACTTCTACCTTCAAGTAGTAAGCCACATGTACATTTAAAAAGAGAGATACATCTACTTAGCCAGTCTGAATTTCTCTTGCCCATGTTCATCCTGAGGTTCAGCATTACCTCTAAGTTAAAGCAGAGTTTTGTAACTGAACTGTCTGGTAATAAGGGCATTTCTGCCTTCTGGATAGTTTTTAGGTTAAGGGATCTGATTCACTTGTTAGTTATTCACTTATTACCATGAAATCCTGCCTAGGGCTTTTAAGATTTGTGTCAGCATTCATCTCCATGACATCTTATGCAGGGTTACACATCTGCATCTTACAAGTGTGCTTTCAATCTCTATATTCTCAGATTGGTTTTAGTTCAGTTTCATGATAATATTTCTCCTCTTGTTTGGAAAATCACCTTCGTAGTGTACAGATGCTTGCACTATTGGTGTTGTGCCTTTTAAATTCCTCTTTTGAACAAATTGTTCATAATATAGATCTCATTTCCAGGATGTGACATTCATTACTATTGGCTGATGTCTCAGTTATAAAGCACAGATTGCCCTAGAATGCAGGGCAGTGTGTAATATCTGTAAAGCATTTTTAGGATAATGTTCTGATATGACAGGAAATATCATGGTAGAATAGACTAAGAAGCAAGAAAGCATATATGGAAAAAAATGGTGTTTGTTTGGATTCTTCTCCCAGCTCTATGAATTACATGTGTAAAGGTGGGTTAAGTTCCTGTACTCCCTTTATGCATAGCAGAACTATCTTCTGGTTCTTAAATTGCTCCCAGATAGATTTGTTTGCCTTACTGGAAGTTCTTCTCCTGTTTTAATTCAATTTCTTACAAGATGCATGCTTTCATCAAGGAACATATTGCTTACCTTTCCTCCAGTGGGGAATTTTGATGAACAGAATGACTTCTGCCTATTCCAATTATCATATCAGGATCTTTTTCACCCTTTAACTGGGTAATCGGAGGATAAATCCTATTCCTCATCCTCAAAGCTGTTGATTCAGTATGCCAGAACACTGATATTTCTTAGTTTCAGATCACTGTACATCAATAGAAAGTTGTTGTCACTAATGTAGACCATTTTTTCCCTTAAACAAGGATCCTTATTAGTACAGAATATCTACGATCTTAGTCAAGGTGCAACTGGTTTTCATCTTTGTAGTTCAATCTCATAGAAATAAAATTTAGTGCTCTGGCTTCCTCTAACAATTGACCCTCTGTGGATTTCATTGTTGATATATACATCACTAATTTTTATTCTTGACAGAATCAGAGCATGGTTGAGGTTGGAAGGGAGCTCTGGGAGTCATCAGGTCCAACTCCCCCTTTTCAAGCAGAATCTCATAGAATAAGTTGCCCTTGAAGATATTTGGAAGTTGTTTGGACAACTTCTGAATATCTTCAAGGACTGAGATCGTACAACTTCCCTGGACAAACTGTACTAGTACCAGGGCTCAGTTGCCTGCAAAGCCAAAAAAAAAAAAAAATTCAAACAGAACATACTGTGTTTCAGTTTCCCCCATTCTTTTCTGTCACTGGACCATGACCAAGCCTGGCTTAGACTTCTTTATACCCTCCTTTCAGTTATTTGTACACATTGATGAGATCCACTGTAAGCTTTCATTTGTCTAGGCTTAACTGCCCCAGCTCTCTCTGCCCTTTCTCATAGAAGAGATGCTTCAGTCTCTTAACCATTTTAGTGTTACTCTCTAGTAGCTCCATCTCCGTCTTGTGCCAGGGAACCCACAACTGAATAGAGCATTTTTGGTGTGGACCCACCAGTAGTGAACAGAAGGGGAGCCACCTCCCTTGACCTGCTGTTAACACTCCTCCTCGATGACAGAGAACTCTGACTTAATAGTAGTAGGTTCACCCAATAGTCATGCCAGTAAGTGATCAATCCAAAGGAAATGCCATATGACACCAAGAGGATATTAGGCTTTTTTCAAGATTGCCCATGTCAAGCCTCTTTCAGTAGTCAGAACTATAACTATCAGTGACTTTTCTGAGAACTTTTCTCATTCCCAGAAATTTCTGAACTGCGCATTAATCTTTGTGTGTACCTTTGTGGTTGCACTGTCATTGCAGTTATCCCATTTTGAAGTCAATTGCAGTAACTGGAAGTCTCCTGAAGATATTGTTTGAGTAAATGATTCTGAAACCATCTCTAGTAAATCTGAATATTTAGTCTTCTTGTTCCAAATAAACCTGGGAATGTTCAACTGGATTGCTTCTGAAAATGGAAATAATAGACCTTTTTTTGAGATATGTGTTTCGCATGTATATTCTCTTACTGACTTCCATCTCCCCTCTGTTACACTATAAGTGGTATGCAGGATGTGGATGTCACTGGGCATGCTCTACTTTTTACCTCCATGTACAGTTACAGTATGCTCACATCCTATCTCAGGATCTCCAATTATTTCTAAATATCCTGTCATTGCATTGCTGTAACTCTGATGCATTCTGACGCAACTAGTTAATAATTAATTACTTTTTTATTTCAGAATTGGGTTTTGTATGGGTGTATCTTTAAGGTCTTTCTACCATAGTAAGTATGACTTCGATAAGGTATAGAAAAAACAAATTCAAGCAGTAAAACCTTTAGCATTTGTCACAAATAAATTTCAAATTCTAATTTACTATATTAAAAAAAGAAGGTAAGTCAGTAACTCAGTGTGATCTAGTAGTGCTCTAGCTAATGATAATGCTATTGGATAGAAAGTTATTGTCAGATTTTTCAGTAACAGCAGTATAAATACTAAGAAGAGTAGTTTGTTAAGAGAGTGTGGTTTCAGTACTATCAATTTTATTTGAGCAAAAGTCTGCTCACAAAGCATTTTGTGTCAAAAAAATCTGCCAAATCAAGTTCTCGGACATCTTAGGTAGAATTTAAATTACATGAGCACAGGCATCTAAAGCTGTTGGGGGTGCCTTAGGGTATCCAAGGCATCTGTATGGGACAGCTGTGAGGCAGATCAAATGTGAACATCAACTGGACCAGCAGCTGGACACCAGGATATCCTAGGGCATCTCTCACCACATAACTGAATTGACCTTCTAGGGTGTGATCCAGTTTCACATTAAAATATTTAATTGTAAATGTCCACATGTAGACTCTCTGACTCTGCTGAAAAACTGTGTTCCACTGATGGTGTTGACTAGATTTTCACTGCCTAATAATAGGAATTTAGAAATTTTACACAAATGCAGGCTTGTTAACAGGGACCTGTATTCTATTCCTATTATATTTTCTTATATAGTTATTAATCTTATAGTAGAATTTGACAGCATTTTTGGCTTTGTCTTGAATAATAATAAATGATCTTGTATTCTAGTATTTATTCTTGCCTATTCTGTGTTTTTTATGTATACGTAAAATAGAGGAGAAAAGAATGTACTTTCCAAGTGTATTTTTTACAGAAGGATTAATTGGTGTTTTAAATGTCACAATATTTCTTTTTTAGACAGAAAAAGGGAGTGCCCTACATGAAGCAGCCCTGTTTGGAAAGGTGGAGGTAGTACGCATTTTGCTTGAAACAGGTAAATCTGATTTACAGGAAACACTGAACAAATACCCTTAATTTTCCTATTTTGGTGTAAGCCTCCTTCAGTTTGGTTATACAAATTACTTTTCTCTTTATCAGCCTTTGCAAATCTAATCACATGTATTTCTCATTAAAACAGTGTTCTTTTAGAATAAGAACAAAGGTGATGTTCAGATTCAGAAATTCCATATATGACTCAGTGTATGCCACTGTATTTTGAGAATAAATACATTATGAGAACAAAATGGCTACATAAAATTTTGTTATTCACTCTGAAAGGCAGCCAAGAATATTCTTTGATGTAGAGACCAGAAGATTCATGTTCCTATTTATTTCCTTCAGTTAGCTATTCCTAGCATACATATCGTTCTGCTTCTTCATTTCCTGGATAAACTGAGTGCCTACAAAGAAAGGGGAAGGCACTGTGTCTCTGAGAATTGCATTTGTCCTGGAAGAAAAGAACAGGGATATAAAGTACAAACAACCCATCTACTGCATAATAAGTTTCAGAATTGTGATAGGTAAATTACTCATCTAGACAACTGTCTTCTCAGGTCAATGGTAAAACCAATGAGAATGAAAACACTTAGAAATAATTTCTTGCAGATCCATGAACTTCCATTACACTGAGGGATCTCATTGGTCTTTATTATCAGTTCTTGTGGTGTTACTTATATATTGCAAAAGAAGGTATATTCTAATCTCAACTAGTGTATCCCTGATCTCAGACCTGTTTTCAGAAAAAAAATGGTCCTTCCAAGTTGCTCCTCTGTTTGGATGAAAAAGGAGACTAAAAGGGATCTTCACCTGCCCTCAAAAGGCAGGGCCTTTTTATTTCCTAAAAAAAGGACTGGATATCATCACCCAAACATAAGAAGCCCTTTAGACCACAGAAAAAGCCCACCTTTTTCAGATTAATACATGCTACAGCCTCTACAAGCATGCAATTGTCAAGACAGTGGAGTAGAATCTTCACTGTGAACTCCTTCAACCCTAAATACTCTGCATTTTTGCAACTCCCCACCTCCTGCCTTTTGTACCTAACAATCCCCTCTTTTCTAGTTCTCCTTCAAAGAGTCAGAAGATGTTATAAGTAACTACTACAATGGAAGGATGTGAGTTGGTGTGCCTGGCCTCTGAAAGTCAGCTGCCACTGCTAAATAGCCCAGTAGTATTTTGGGTTTGTTTTCAGTGAGGAAGTTTTGTGTGTCTCACAAAACAAATGGGGAAAATGTCCATTGTTTCCATGGAAACTCCTACAAAGGAATGGTAGAGTATCCTGTACAACAGGTTCTGATCCAGGGCAAGCCTCGAACTTAATTCACAGTTGAAGATAAACTTGTTAGCAGTATGGATGGTCTGTGAGGAAATCCTGTGGCTGATCATAGTGCCTGTATACTACACATGGTTATTTCAGTCTATCCATGCATGAATTTTGAAAATGTTGACATGAAGTACAACTTTATTAACATATAGATAAAAACTTTTTAAGTCTTGCTCCTGAAACATATACTGGTACTATGGACTAGAAAGGTCCCAATGAATTAAAGCAGTTTGGAGAGAAATGTAGGAAAAACATTGAGAGAATTTCTTGGTTTTACAAAATATCCTTTTCAGGATGGCTGTTTAGGAACAGTCTGTTAAAATAATCCCAAACTATCCATGTCAGCATGTGAGTTTTAGGCTACTCAAGCTTTAAACACAAACGTATCCTGTACTTCAGCTGTAATGTAGTTGTAAAACTGCTTGCTTTCAATTTGTCAGGTAATTCACTCTGATATAACACATTTATAATCTGAAGCATTCGGGGTTAAATATTCCACCATAGATCCCTTTCTTTTTCAGGAATTGATACCAACATAAAGGACAGTTTGGGTAGAACGGTTTTGGATATACTTAAAGAGCATCCATCTCAGCAGTCTCTTCAAATTGCAGCTCTACTTCAAGGTAAGTCATACTCAATTACATGTTTGTTAGAGACATTAGAGAAATATTATTGTATATAGTAATTTCTACTCTTTAAATGTTTCGTTACACAAAGGAGCAGTCTTTTGATTTAAAAAGATGAGTTGAACAACAATAAGTTGTTCAATGTCTGAATTTCAGAGTAAACCCTTTCTTTTTTGTGGGCCACTGACATTAGCATGGTGTGTCGCTTATAGTCTTTTAACATTCTTCATCACACCATAACATATTGTAACATTTCAATAGCAGTTCCATTAAATTGTAATGATAACCTACACTTGAAATGCTTGATTTGTAGCAACTAAATGATGGAAAGATGATGACAATTTTTCAAACCATTTCATTATATTTTTCATTTTCCTTAAATTAAAAAAATAATAAACCAGGCAGTATCTCTTATTACTATAGGAGAAATAATAAGATTTTCACATATGCATTTGTTCTCATTCCCCATCTTACTTCCATGGTGTAAAGTTGATGGAAGTTCATTGTTTACTTCAATCATTTACTCTAGAAGATGGCAGTAAAGTGCTGAAACATCAACTACAACATAACTCAGTGTTAAATGTAATTTATTCTCTTCTATGGAATTTTTTCCCTGCATTTTCAGCTTAGCCTTTCATTAAGTGCATTTGACAGAGGAGGTCCCTGCAGGTATCAGTGCTGCATCTTCATCTGTATTGATTATTGCTACCATTAAATAAGCCATTTTAATCATTTCAGTGTTGGTTCTACACATGAACTAGCTCATGTTACAGGTTCCCTTGTAACTGTAATTTATAAGAACCTTTCTTAGAGAAAAGGAGGTCATGCAACCATACTGTGTCATTTGTTTTCTGAATGACTTCCAAACTAGTTGACCAGCTTCCATAAAGTTTTCCAGTAAGATGATGGGCTTGAAGATACAAAGTTTCTGTAAGTATAATGAAAATTTTGCAGGCTGTAGGAGAGGTATTCCTGTAAGGAGCAGATTCATGTTAGAGCTGAACCAGTTAACAGCTTGCCTTGAGGTCTCCCTCTCTCCCTTCTTCCTATTTTCCTTTGCCTTTTCCCTCAGTTCCTCCCTTCCTCCTCCCCTACCTCCACCTACACAATTCCCTGACATATTCTCCATTTACATAAGACTTCAAAGTGACTTGATTCAGTTCATGAACCAATAGAATACAAAATATATATTTATTATACATATAAAATAATGAAAAATTATATTAAAAAATCTATACTTTCTGTAGTTTTCATTAGGTTGCCTCCTGTGTGATTCAGGTCCCAGAGTTACCTCTGTCCCAGGTAACTGGCAGTAATTTGCATTGAAAAGTGGGGAGGAAGAGGTGTGGGGGGACACAGGACTTCCCCTGTAAGCAGAAGGGAGTTTCTAATTTGAGTCAGACTCAAACGTCAACCTTTAAGTCCTCACAGAACTGCAGCATGAACATACTACCATGTAGAGGAAAAGAGGATTAAAGTCATACTGGAATTTCTTCAGTGGCAGGAAAAGTGTCAGTCAGAGTTCCCACTTTTTTAGACATCCAAATCAATCATCCTTCAGGTATTAATCTAAGATTCATCATAAAATCCCATCACCAAGTAAACTAATTTTAATTTTACTACCTCTTTATTGTTCTATTTGATCCTTATTGTGATAATCTTGCAGTCTCAACCCCACTGATGAACAATTTTTTCAAGTACCCTTGCTCTATGAGTAATAAAGCACTACACCTCCTCTTGTGGGTTTCTCATGTTGATGGATCAGTACCTGCCCTCAGTCTTTACCACACACACAGAGAAAAAGAAATATATTAATTTCAAACCTTTTTGTTGCTGTGACATGAAGTCTTTTTCAGAAGTGTACTTTGAAGTATAAAAATGGCTGCTTAGTAGTTTCAGCTCTTATTAGTGTGATGAAACTGTCTTGTAATGAGCAGCTGTTTATTTTTGCTCTCTGCCTATAATCAGAAGCTATGTGCAAGAATGAAAAATGGTTACAAAGATGCCATTCTGACTCTTAAGACAATATGAGGAGCTACAACTTACTTAGGGAACTTAGATTATTTTTCATCAGCAAAATGTTCACTGAATCTTTATCCATCAAAGTTTGAGCTGAAGTTGAAAAAATCAGGAGTGGCAAGATTCAGTACTATCACTACTGATGATGTAGTTGACCTACCCTCTAAAAAGACAGCTGACTATACTCTTCACTAAAATGTGGGTATTTATCCTATTGTAGCTGAAAAATCAATGAAGCACTAGAATTTTTGGAATCCTGAATGTACTATAATTGAGTTTGACTTCAGTGCATAATTAATTCCATGCTAAGAAAGGGTAATTACTAAGAGCGATTTAGTGGCTTCCAAATACGTTCCTGTTAAGGCTGCTGTCTTCAGATGGTTGTCTAGAACAGCTTACATGGCTCTTTCATGTAGTCTTATAGGAAACAGAAATTAAATTAATGATGCCAGACAATTACTGGCCAGATTTTTTTAAGTTTCTTGCTAATTTTTTGCTTTATGCAGACATACTGGCATTGATTTGTTCTTTCACTTTGTTGCAACTATAGACTAAGATTTTATTACCAAGCATTCTCATTAATTTTTTCTGGTTCCCCCTTGCACTGTTCTGAGTGCCACTTTACAGTTTATAGTATTAACATAGCATAGTATTTGTCCCTGTCACAAAACATTAGCTTTCAAAATATAAAACAAAGGCTGAAAGATGCATATTGAACATGCTGGCAGAAACGGGCAAGGAAATTATGTGACTAGTATTACTGGTGGGTCTGTTATGCAGAGGGATAACAGAGTTGGAGGAAATGTTTAGAAAGAAAATGAGTTGGCTTTGGGGATATTTATAAGAAACTTCTTTGAAGGAGATAAAAGTAATTTCTGTGTTTAGAAGCAGTTAATGGAGGTGGTAACACTATATCCCATGAGCTGATACTAAACCCAATAGGGTTTAGTTTAAGAATTGTAGATAGAAATTGTTCTTATTTTAAAGGATATTTAGAAAACTGATTTTTACAGATTGTAGGTTTAAAGAAACAAGGCCTTTTGCCCATGAGGTTTTAGAAGTGATCCAGCATTCTTGTGATCTTTATTTTACATCTTTTCTCACTATCCTGAGAAAAGCGCAATAGAAGTTTCTGCAAAAATTTTTTGGTTTGGCTTTTTTTTTTTTGTGTTTGCAAAGACTGTCATATTTTTTGAGATGTTGCCACATTATGTGATAGAAGGAAAATAAAATATCACTTTAAAGAGCAGCCTGAAAAAGACTGAGTAAGCTATGCAACACCTAAATATTTTTTTTCTGCCTGTTAATTATAGTTGAAATTAAGAGAAATGACAGTTCAGATTTTACTTCTATGTTTTTTTTTGTATGCCACATCATTTTCTATGTCTTCATCAGGTCTAGGTAGCATTGAACTCACTTAAAATTACTTATTAGGGTTTAGATTTTTAACATAGTAAGGAAGAAATAGCTGTATAAGTACTATGTACTGGAAGAGAACTAGGATACTGCGCCAAGCAAGGCCAGGCTACTGGATGAATTTCGTGGGTGCACTGAAACAACAGTACTTGGTGCTGAAGCAGTTAACAATACTGGCACTAAGGGCTTTTATAATTAGGCATTGGAGATAAAAGGGATGTTGCCAAGGCTAGTAGGCCTAAAATTAAACCAACCAGCTGTGTTTTAGTTTCAGCACATGTGAATGTGACGCAGGTGCAAGCTGTACCTTCTTTCAACTCTTTCTCCACAGCCCACTATGCTCTCTATTAGAATCTTGCTCTTTTACTAATTCTAGAAGCAGAATTCTCGTTATTATAAAACAAAGGAGATAGTAGATAAACAGATAAAAAATGGTATGAGTCCCAGTAAACGCTGCTGCATAGATAGTATGGAGGGAGATGCAGTGGAAAACAGTTTCCTTTCTTCTGCTGAAGCTGCTTAGGAACCTAAAGTTGTTTGTACCTGTTACCACATTATTCATAAATGTAAAATACATAAGCAGCTGCAGAACCAGAACTCCTTTCTATTCCTCTCTGCTTAAATAGCTTTTTTTTTTTTTTTTTAATGTATTCTCTCTTTCTTTCCTACTCTTTCTGTGGACAAGTAGATATTCCATTCCCTTGAGTGTGGAAGGCCAGACTCACTGGAAGAATGGGATATGTTTTCAGTCAAGAATTTAATTACAGCTACATGGAAGGATGAAAATAATTGAGATCTCAATTTCCCTTCAAAGTTTGGTTTTGTTTTTATTTTTTGATTTCTTTTGTTTATGGGTTCATTTCGTTTTGTTTTTCTGGGGACTCTTCAACTTCTTCTGTAGGCGCTTGTGCAAAGGCTGTAGACCATTGACTGCATTAATGAATTAATTTAACTACTGTTGTTGAGACTGAAAGTTTAGCTGCACCTTTATGTATCTCACAATCATAGGAGTACTTCAGTGCCTCTTTCTGTTATCTTCCCTGAACACACACACAAAAATGTTTATTGATTTCAGCTTTCTCTGAGATTCAGCTTAACTTGAATAATTTAGAAATTGTCCTCTGAAATTTAGAAGACTGAAGTGAACCAGCCTCCATCTCAGCTTGTCTGTCACCTTAGCACACCTGATAGTTGTAGGTACCAGTCAGTTTCCTGCTCCTGCAGCTGCTTTAGAGAGAGGAGGAACTGGGTCACAAAGCCTCAGGTGGGTTCCTTCCCATGAGGGCAAGTGAGCTTGTTTTGGGAGGAGTTTTTTTGAAAGCTTCCTGGCTAGGGTAGGACTCAGTGGAGCTGCAAAATTCTCAGAAAAGTTCTTTAAGAATCTTAGGGAGGGCAGAGGTTTTTCTGAAGATTGCTACCCTTCAGGAACATGTGAAAGAGGTGTAAGCACCCCTCTGCAGGGATATTGGTTATGGAGGGGACTGGTTTCTGTGCAAGTTTTATTTCTCTGATCTAGTTATTTGAAGAGTCTTCTGGTTAAAAAGGTGAGTTTTCATATTTATTTTGTGATCAAATTTGGTTGTTTTTGGGTTTTTTTTGGAGTTTTAAAAAGCTTTTTGGTCTCTGTAGGGAAAAAACGTTCTATGTGAATCTACCGCATGGTATGGATGACGTAGGGTATAAAAACAAAAGAAAGGAGCTTATACTTAATTTAAAGGAAAATAAGGATTAAAACAACTTGTTTGGGTTTTTTATTTTCCATTAAAATAAAAAAGTTTTCTGAGATGAATATAACCATTACTCTAAAAGCTAAGGTTTGTAAACAAAGCAAAACTCTTAACCCTACCAACTCAATGAGAAATTAGGATCTAAGAGGACCTGAAGTTAAAGCAAGTTGTGCTTTTATACTCCTTGGAAGTTCAGGAGCAGCCCTAGCTGAGCTGGGCCATGCTCTCTTCATGCTGGAGAGGCAGCTGTGTTTCTCTGCTTGTATGTTTAGTCTTTCCCAGCTCTTTGGCCTCACCGGTATTGCAGAACTTAAGATAGCTGAAGTTCCAGCTGTTTGAACTTCCCAGAGCTTATTCCCTTATTAAGTTATATTCCCCACTGTTCTTATTTCCACTGCTGTGTATATATGTAATACTTTTATGGTATTGCTTTTTGTGTGCAGGATCCAACTTAGGTTGAGTGGGGCTTTGACAAAATCTGGTAACTATAGGAAACAATCCTACTAAACAAAGTTTTTTGAACTCTTAGTATTAAGAGCTGAAGTAGTCCTACTTTAGACTGAGCTGTAAAGTTTATTCTGGGTAAGGTGAAGTAGTACTTTTACAGAAGTAATATAGTCCATTGTCCCATTATGAATTTGACAGGTTGTGTCCTAAACAGCCTTGACTCTCCCCTGTGGTAGGAATGATGAGGTTTTTTCTAAAGTTGTGTGAAACCACAGATGGGGACACTGTTCTGGTCATGAAGTGGTATAAGTCACTAAGCTTAGCTTTGTTCTGAATTCTCTTTTTGATTTGAGAAAAATGATCCACCCCTGACCACTTGAGCAGTCTCTCAAGCACTCAGCAGTGAGTTAAGTTTGGACAAGATTTGAAGATGGATTCCTAGCCAGCTGCAGGTGATTAGAATGCAGCTGCTGGTGAAAGCATCCGGTGCTTTTGTGTGTTTTTTCTCTTGCTCTTGATACAGATCACCTGTTCTGTGTCTCTTTCTCTGACAGTATTATGGGTAAATATACATTTACCAAGACTATAAGCCTCTTTGAACTGAGGCCCTGTCTTTATCTCGTATATATCTGCTAGAGTTTTCAGTAGCGTAAACCAAGTTAGGAGTAGTAGTCCCACAAAAGTCCAAAGTTTCAAGGGTTGCACCCTCACAACATTGACATGCTGCCAGCCTGTTGTAAGCCTTTTGTACCATACCTTGCGAGAGCCAGCTGTAAAGGTTTTCTGGAAGAACTATGTGTTTTTCAAAGTAAGTATTTAAGACTTATGTTGAACTTGGGATTTCCTCTTCAGAACTAGCCTCCAGGAGGTAAGTGCATTGGTCTGGAAGTGGGGACTGATAAAGAACAAAAATAGAGAATTATTTTAAAACCAGAGTCTTGTATGATTATGTGACTACAAGGTTAGAATTCTTCACAATAGCTCCTTCATTTCCTCTGCTAATTATAGCTGTAATAATCTAATAATTGTAACATTCACCTAATAGAATTACATTTCCTTTTGGACAGTTGCATAATTACCAAGCAAACATTTTTCATACATGAATTTGTATTTTCTTTTAGTTTTATTTGGGTATGGCTTGCTTTTTCTCTTATCCCCATCTTGCACATTAACTTGACAAATACTATCACTGGCAGAGCTGGAAAACATTTCAGAGCATTTTGTCATGGTGTTAGTTTTCTCATGGACTCCTACAGTTCATCTTTGCTTTCAGACCCACCACACAGAATTTTCATATGATGAAATTTATGACAGATTATGCCAGGGACCACTGCCAGTCATTAAACTTAATATATGGCTCTTTCAAATCATACAATTCTTTAAAAAAAAATACCCCAACAATCTGCAAAGTATTTTGAAACTGCATGCTGTTCTATGCCATTTCCAATTTCAATTTCTCAGATGTCTGTTTTATCACAGATTGTATTTGGGTTTTGGGATTTGTTATTTAATCATGAGTAACAGCAAGCTAAACAAGTGCATTGTAGACTGTAGAAATTAAATCAGGGAGATTTCACTTCCCAGAAACTCCTTAGTCCTTCAGTGTGATATTGATGAAAGACATTATTGTACTTTGGTGCTCTGTGTTGCAACATATGCTATTGTGGTTGCTATCGGTATCACAATGAAACTATTTAAACAATTTCATAAGCTCGAGAAAATGCAGATGCAGAATAACTGCCCAAATTGAGAACCAGTTACTCTGCTGGGAAAAAAAATCCTGCCATTACGGCATAAATCAATTTCTTATTTATTATTGCACTGCAATTCATTAACATTTTGGTCTTCCATTGAGGTAGCTTGTGTAGAAAAGCACATGAAAATAATGTAGATATTTATAATAAAGGAACATTAATGAAATTGAAGTTTAGCACATTCATTATTTCCATATACATTGTTGTGAACATGTGGCAAGGGAAGTTTTAAGGAGAAAAAATGGAAATTTCAGCACACTGCTTTTTAGACTGCTATTTTAAACTAAATTTTCAGAATTGCTTTTTGTTTTTGCTCATGTACTATATCTGTGCTGCAAGCAGAGTGTTTGGCTTTCTAAGCAATATCAATGTTTGTATGTGTTGTGAATATCCTGAATATCTTGACAAAAAACTCTCCACAAACTTAGAATAAAAGTCTCTTTTAACTGCAATAATGTAATAGAACAGTTATGTTGATATTTCAAGGAGACAAGAAAAACACGTTACCCTTACAATGAGATTTCTGTAGCTGTTTCCACAAATTGGAGGACTGGCCATTTTAGTGTTTTACAGTGCTTTCAACAAATGACTGCCTTGCAGCAGTGTTTATGAATAATTATTATTAAAAGGTTGTAATAGCAATATTTGCCAATGACTATTAATTTTTATAATAATGTTATTATTATTAATAATAATTATTCATATTGTTGTAATATGAAAATTTGAAAAGTCTTTAATGAAAAACGAAGTAACAAATATACTTGATTGAAATAAACCCCCTTAATTCAGTCTTTTAAGTGTATTTGTATCTTTAACTTGCAGAATATATGGAAACAGGAAATGCAAGTATTTCAGAGGAATGCCCACTGGAATGTGCAGAACATCAGTCTTGCGTTTTGTCCCCAGAAGTTCCTCCGTCTCCAAAGGCTAAAAGTAAATACATGTACTCTGTGAATGCAAAAGCTGTACTGAATTTCTCTGTAACATTAACATTCATACAAACTTAAAAAGTGGAAAAAAATTAGAAAGTTATTGATAATCAAGTATGGTTTTTTTCCTACCATGAATCACCTATGACTCTGTAATCCATATGATCTAGAAAATCAAGGAACTGTATTCTCAGAAAGGACAAATCACTAATGGTTTACAATGTACTGCATTGTTTGATCTTAAATATTTTTAATTTATCTGACCTTTTCCATTGTATAATCAAGCAAAACAAAAATGCTAAATATGTTGAAATACTCTGCAGGTATTGTTTACATTTGGGTTAAAAATTGAATTTACTTCATCTTCCCCAATGAGCTCAACTACCAATTGTTTCACACTTGGAAGCCTCTTTCAAAGGTCACAAATGTACTGCTCTTCCATTTGTCATCTAACACAGCTTTCATACACTGTAGCAGCCACTTGTGTGCATGTGCTTTCATTTTATATTCTGATTCACCATTTCCACACCACAGCCACTAAAACAGGGCATTTCCTGAGTGTGGTGTCTTTCATGAAAGTCATCTTCCTGTAGAACCAAACCTGACTTCTGCCTTCAGTAATCTTCCAGAGTGAATGTAGTGGACTGCTGGCAAATAACTGAGCCTGTCCTTGGATTTTTGTGTGAGTTGTGGTGTTATTTTGCTTCGTAGTGATTTTTTGTGTTTGTTGGGGTTTTTTGTTGGGTTTTTTTTTGTCTTTGTTTAGCATGTTCTTTTTCTTTAACAAGTTCACTGGGAGAGTTTTTATTCATGAGAGAATGAAGCTTCCTAATGCATATCAGGTTATGATCTTTGGGGTAATAGTGAACAAATGCTGTAGTTCCAATAATATTTCCCATTGGGGTACTTAACACATACGTGGTGTGTGAAGATAAATAGTTCCTTTGAGATTAGCAGGATTGTGAAGCCAACTGTGCGATAGAAATCTGTCCTGAAATTAAGTAGCAAATATTTTTAAAATATGTTGTACTTTTTAACAATAAGGTCATGATCTCGCATTCCTTATTTCCTCTAACAAGGCATAAATAATGTAAACCATACTAGCTGTCTTTTGCTTGTCTATTATGTAATCTGATACTAAAGGAGAGAAATCATACTTGATCATGCTTCCCATCCATCTGTCTGCCATTCACTGACAATCTAATTTCAGATAATTTAAACCAACTTTGGAAAAGGATTAGCAGTATCAATTACCTTTCTGTGACTTTCATGAAAATAGGGAGCTGGATAGAGGTGAAAGACCCTAATTAGTACCTGCCCTGAAAGAAACAGGCAAAATCTTTTATGTATTCTGGCTGCAATCAGCCAGTCAACTGGTACACTCTCACCCAGGTCAGTCCAGTTCTGTCACACAGAGCTCATTCTTGCCCAGTAAGAAATACTGCAGGCCATATGTGGAAGACTGTGGGACTGGGGACATGAACACAGTTCTGTAGGAAGCATTAGTTCTGTTTTTTTATAGCACACTGTATAATGATTTTAGAATAGTTTTTAATATTTAGATATTTTACTTCCAATTTTTAGTTATAATATGAATCTGGAATAATTTACATTTTCTAATTAAAAAGAAGAATGTAAATAAACCTCATTATAATTTTGCTTAATTTACAAGTTTTCGTGCAAAGCTACCATTGACTAAGAGTAGCAAGAGTTTGGAATGCAAAATTTCTGTTAGATTTTAAAAAGCAATTAAATGCTTTTAATTATCAACTTCTATTCTTGTCTCTGAAAATTTTGGTAATAACTGGCCATGGTTATACTTTAAATATTGAGTATGTGTGTTTACTTAGTGTAGCAAACAGTAACTATGAAAAAAATGAAACAGAGCTCTAGACCAAGCAGATACAATTTTATCAGTGGATTCTGTAGTTATGTGAGTATACTTAAATGTGTTTTATGTATACTGAGCTTAATATGCTCACTCTGTTTTTCCTTTTCAGCATTTTATTTCCAAAGATGGAATAACATGGAAGCATCTGTATTTTATCAAGTCTAAGCACTGCAGTTTCCACCAATATGACTGTTGTAAACCTAGTTAAAAAAGGGGGTTTCTTACTTGCTCCTGGAAACTCTTGGTCTTTTTCATTTTTCATTGCTATTACTAAAGGTAGCTGTATAACACACACAGAGTACATAATCAGAACCCAATGTGGTTGGTCATAATGAGTAACTTTTCAGTCTGTGGAGGCCTTGGTGCTGCCAGTGGATTATTTGCAGAATGGTTAGCACTGAGTGTGATTCTAGTACTTATTAGTACCACTATTCCCAATAGTGGTCTTCAGTATAGACATAGAAAGCCTATTGTCTTACTGTTCTGGTAGATTTCTTAACTAAATAAATCTGATAAATTAAGGAAAAATCATGAAACGGTGCAGAAAGCACTAAATGTGAATTTCTGATAGACTGCTGTAGGAAGACATGTTTTAACTTGTGTAGGGTTTGCCCAGTATATTCTTCCACTCTTCCATTTAATCCTGGGAGAGTGAGAAAGAATTATTCATAAAGCTTAGCTACTTTGATGGGGAGGACATGCATTCTTAGTCACTCACAGTTCACAGATCTTACGTAGTGTATTAATTACAGCAGCAAACAGTAACCCAGTGCAGAGTATGGATTTTGTATGTTTGTAGAAACTTTCCTTTCCTGGATTAATTTAACATTCTTGAGTAGTTGCTATTTCTAGAAATTTTCAGGATTAGAAAAAATAGAAAGGGTAAGTATGTATTCATCCTAATTAAATGCAAGGTATAGGGCAATGCAGAAGTATGTAGATTGCCTCAAGCAAATTCCTAGCCTGGAACAAGATGCTATTATTTTTGAGCAGAGAATCGTGCATGAAGATCATTATTTAGAAGATAAGGTATGGAAAATAACAGATAATAATAAAGTTTAAAGAATGTGCATTTCCTTTTTAGGCATAAATTACCCCAGTATTCTAATTACTGACTAATGGTGTGTCTGTTTTTAAAGGTGAAGCTGTGACTGGAGAATTATCAAAGCTCTTAGATGAAATCAAATTGTGCCAAGAAAAGGAATACTCTTTTGAAGATCTGTCTCATACACTATCAGACCATTATCTGGAAAATTTTAGTAAAGTATCAGAGGAAGATCTTATGACCAGTGGAAGCCAAACCAAGCTTAATGTAGTAAGTAAGATGGGATACAAGGACAATGTATTCAGTTACATCTGATTTATTTATAGCACATCCAAGAAAGAAATAATAAGAGTGAGAATAGTACAAGGTTAACATTATAATAAAAAAATATAACATGTGCTTCTTACAGATTTAGAATGTAATGTTCACTTCATTTCTCAAAAGTATTGCTTACCACACCTCAGAATGGCTTTTTATGTCACCACCATTACATTCAAGTTACTTATTTTGAGCATGATGAGGACAAGGAAGGGGTTTGTTTGTGGACTCATTGGAGGATCAGTATGTTCAGTACTCTACCAAATACTAAATATTAACAGAATCTGATAATCTGATAAGATATACCCCCAAAAGAACCAGCTAAGCATCCTCAGTTACTTTTCTTCTACATTTTATTATTATATAGCTTTCTTAGTGGCCTAATGGTATTGAAGACTGAATCTCTAATACAGAAAATTTTGGTTGTGATACTTCAGTGATTTCCAATGACAGTTGACGATAACTTCATTGCTACTAATATTATTAATAACGTACTCTAGGATTAATTTTTTCTTTACTGTAACAAGGCTTTTTTTTTTTAAATTGAATTCTCTTCCTCAGTAGGTTTCCTGATTTCAGCTGGTTTAAGCTTAAACTTAAACCATGACACTAAATAAATGTGATTGCCCAGGGAATAAAGCAGAGAACAAAGGAAAACTGCTAAGTTCTAAATTTAAGTTAATGTTTTTCATAAGTTAAGAAAATTTATGCTTATTTATGCGAAGAAAACCATGGCAAGTTAAAGACTTTCATGTTTTGGAGGATTTATTATGGCATATAGAGACAAAATGAGATTTACAAAGATGCATAGCTACCCTGAAATGCAGTAGATGCTTTTGTAAAGCCCTTCTAGATGTTTGAATGTTTAGATGCATAACTCACATTGAACTCAATTTGAACAAGATACTAATCCCATTTAATCATTTTTAGACACTTGTCTAGTGTCTCTCTGAATTTAGGTGTTAACTGCTATTTAAATCTTCTCAGCTGCTGTTTTGCAGAAAATGTATTCCATATAAATCCATCTGTTCAGGCCTAAATGAAGTACAATGTGAATAGAAAGTATTCAGATGCTAAATCTGTAATTTCTGTGACAGGGAAATATAAAGGTAAATTAGACAATATATTTTTTAGATATTTCATATATTTTATATTGAACTAGATGTGGAAACAAATCTTCAAAACTGGGGACTGTTTGAAGCATTTTATGGTACTTTTCTGCTGGGGCATCCAGCTTTTCTTTTAGAGAAAACTGTAGTCAGGATGATGGGTGTGCACTCCCAACATGAATTTAGGATGGAGGGCAGAATACATTTTCCCCTACAGCAAACCCAGCTATACAGATCTGTATGGAGAGGACTCTGTTGTGATGTGAGATTTTCCTGTTTGTTCTAAAGCGTCCATTTAAATTTTTAATGTATTTTAGAGTTATTCAGTCTGTTCAGTTGCTACCTAGCATCCTTGCATAAAAAAAAATGAAAGTTGCTTCCATTTTGGGTGGATGTTGCCTTCCCTTTAGGTTCACTGTGTAGTACATGGGTGATATGAAAATCCACATGCTCTGTAAGGGGCCACAAGAGAGTAATTGGGAAGAAACACTAAAGTGAAGAGATATGTTTAGCTCTGAAAATGATTGCAAAGGTGGATACTGCCAAACTGCTCTGGGGGCAGGAGCAGCAAGTGTAGTCAAGGAAGATGTGTGACAGTACAGTGATGACTGAAGAAACTTAAATGAATATTTATTATAAGAATGTGAAGATAATAGAAAGAAGTGAAGATGTATATATAAGTGGAGAGTCAGAAATAGATTCCTTGGATATATATTAAAGAAGAGACATTCTTGCAGCTTTATCTGACTTAACTTTTCTCCTCCGTGGGAAGCTTCTGTAAGAATCTCAGTAGGTTAAGTGGGTTCTTTTCTGTTGTCTGCATTTATTAACCTAATATTTGCTTCTACTGCACATGCCAAGACCCTTTGAAAGTATGGGCAGCACAGGTCAGCCTGTGGAGTCTGCCTGGAGCACAGACTTTTTTCTGCCTGCTGGACTGAGTGTTGCCTTTCTTGGTTATCAGCTCCAGCAGAGGGCTGGAACCACACCTGGTGTGCTTCCACAAAGGAGCAGTTACTTCAGGTTCCCATCAGCAGATTTTTCCTAACTTTCATTTCTGGCTGCTCTGGCATCAGCTCTGAAGAGGTGTAGAAGTTAGCTCCCTGTTGATAATGTGTTAGGTGGTGCCATTTCCTGAACTAATGTCGATTCCAGAGACAATGACTGTTGAAGGCTTTTCAACTTCATGTAGTTCAGCAATCTGAGAAATTTCCAAATCCCAAGTCATGCCACTTTGTGACCCTTAGGGAGATTCTGCAAAGGCGTTGGCTGTGTGGAGACATCTGAATTTTTTGCATCATGCTATTGTTCAGAGAAACAGGGGGCCGAGACTGGGGAATTTCTGATTTGAATAGTAATTTGTGGATCATAAACTTAGGAAGCTGGAGCAAGAAGCATCAGGAGCCACCTCCTGAGGATAGCATGGGCTTGGGAAAGAGAAGGCATCAGGAAGCAGAGTGTATTTAAAAGCATTTTTTTTTAACAATTGTCTCTTTTCAGGAGGGCCAAAACTGCTGTGGATAAATGAGATTATGGTTGATTTGGGGCTACAGAAAAGAGTTTCTGTCTACCCAGAATGCACAGCCTGGAATTCTGTCCTAAATTTTAACTGCCAGCCTGTTGTTTGAAACAGTGGGGCTCACAGTTTTTGTTTAGTGTAAGGGTAGTGTGAATGCCTGCTTTTTAATATAATAATGTGACAGTAAAGGATTCATCTGGAAAAGTAGTGTCCAATTCTATCCATGGCATTGGGGTGAATTTCAATACTGGCTTTATAGTCACCCAGATAAAGTATGGATCATCAAGCTGTGATCCCTTCTAGGATTGTTTCTGCATTGTACAGCCACTGGAAAAATACCAGTGCAATCTGGAGAGCAAGACTTTGGGTGCCTTGTTCACAGGCACATTCTATTCCTTTTCTGGTCTTAGGCATCTTGCTTGGTTTGTTGTTCCATGATGCAGCACTTGTAGACTTCTATGCTTTCTTTGAAAGAAGTGGGTTGGAAGTCTTTTAGGTCAAGGACAGAATTGAATCCATTCCTCCATTTGCTGGGTTATTAGACAGGTAGTCATCCAACAACATAAGAAGTTGTTCTGGAATATTTGTAGTGAGAAACTTCTTCTTTTCATCAAATTTTGCATTGAAAACAATACATGTTTTTATTACTTTATATGTTTCTATTGGCCAGGTGTGTGATTTGTGACAAGGCATTAAAACCCCAGAGATTTATGTGCTTACAGTATTTTCAAGTCAAATAGGAAGCAGAGTTTGCACAACTCTGAGATTAGGTGGAAAAAAATAACAAAAAGAGAAAATAAACTATTTGGTTTAGTCTTCCGAGTTCCAAATTACTTATCAGCTTTGTCTCTTACATTTCTTTGGGACATGGAGGAGGTGACTAGGAAAATTGATGATGAGGATCTCGGGGACTAGAGGGCATGACATCTGGGAGAGGGAGAGTACAATGGAGCAGTAAATAGAAGTATGGACAGTAACAGTAGACCCATAGTGTAGACATGAATAGGAACTGATCTGGAAATGAGTGAAAATGTCCCCACAGGATGCTTCCCTTACAGAAGTTAAAAGGGGAACTGTGACAGAAGAGGAGATTGTCTTAGCTTCCTGAATGGGAGGGAACAATTAATGAAGAGGGAGGAAAAGACTGAATGATGAACAGCAGAAAGTCAGATGAGAGTAAGGTAATGTTATCTTTCAATTTGAAGAGTGCATTATAAAGGATAAACTAAAGGAAGTCAAAGCTGCACTGGAAATGTCATAATTTAAAGGTTTTCTTTTGCCACTCTGGCTGTGTTTGTTGTGCTGTCATGCAAAATATTAATGCCATATTTCCTAGTCTGTCTTTACCAGTCATTAAAATATGTACATTACAACATAGCATGCAATGAGCCCCTGTTCATTGTCTCCACAAAATTAAAAGCCCGATTGAATACAGTTTTGCAATTCTACTTGAGGGAGAGCTCCAAAAGGCATTTTTATAACTATGCATCCTTTTAGTTGTAATTCCTAGTATTTCTTAATGACTTGTATGCTGGGTGGGGTTGATGATTGATTCATAGATTTGTGTCTCCAGTTTCTGTCTTTGTTTTTCCCATTTTGATCATTGTGACTCAAATGTACTTTTTAGTTGACCTATGTATGCAGTCTTGGAAAGCCCTAACTGGTGCTGCACAGGCAAGCTTGGGAAGCTTTATACTTGTGTATTGCTAAGTGCTGACATACTACAGTTTTTTGATGTTCTCTAGATAAAAATTTTCCAAAAAAACTAGAGTTTGATTGTTCAGTGAGTCAGAAAAGAAACTGTGCTTCAAAACATATTTCAAAAAAACATGATGTGGAAAAAAATATAGGAAAGTCCTTGATTTTATCACAATTCAGTTAACAAAGATGTTTCCTTTTCAAGCTGAATTAAGTGTGATTGCATTTTCAGGTTTGTGGTTTTTTTTTTTTTTTTTTCAGTATAATTAAAAAAAAAAATATTTGTTTTCCAATAGATGGCAGTCTGGTTCAGTAATTTCAAGAACAAAAGCAACCATCTTATATAAGAGTTTTCCAACTTTTTTCATTACTGTGTTAGAATTGTGCATTTTAACACAGTTGATAGTCGAAACTGCTTCTAAATGAACACCTTAAATTCCTCTAGGAGAAAAATTTATGAAACATCATGACATACATTTAAGCTACAGACTAAAACATCAGGACTAAATTTAGATGTGTATCATGGCATGAGGTTACACACCAAGTGTGCATTCAAAGAATCTGTGTGAATTGAACAGCAAGCAAGAAAATTTAAATAGGTATAGTGTACAAAGCAGGGATCCAGA